TATTTTTGCAATTCTGTTTTTCAATTATATCTTGAGCCTCATGGGGAACTTAGTCATCATCCTCCTCACGCTGCTGGATCTTTGCCTAAAGACTCCAATGTATTTCTTCCTCCGAAACTTCTCCTTCTTAGAAATTGCTTTCACATCCGCCTGCATCCCTCGGTATCTGATGAGCATTCTCACTGGAGACAGAACAATTCCCTACAATGCTTGTGCAGCCCAGGTTTTCTTCTTTTTTCTATTATTAATCACAGAGTTTTACCTCCTGGCCGCCATGTCTTATGACCGCTATGTGGCCATCTGCAAACCTCTGCATTACCCAGTCATCATGAACAGCAAAGTGTGCCACCTGCTTGTTCTCTGCTCCTGGGGAACTGGGTTCTTATCCATCTTCCCCCCCTTGCTCTTGGGACTAAAACTGGATTTCTGTGCTTCCAAAACAATAGACCACTTCCTATGTGACATTCCTCCTGTCCTGCAGCTGTCTTGCACAGACACACGTTTCTTAGAATTGCTTGCATTTGTCATAGCTGTGATGACCCTTATCATCACCTTGATCTTGGTGATCCTCTCCTACACACTCATCATCAAAACCATTCTCAAATTCCCTTCATCTCAACAACGAAAAAAGGCCTTTTCTACCTGCTCTTCCCACATGGTTGTTGTCTCTATCACGTATGGGAGTTGTATCTTCATGTATGTGAAAACATCAGCAAAGGAAAGAGTGACTTTAAATAAGAGTGTATCTGTGCTGAACACATCTGTGACTCCTTTGCTAAACCCTTTCATTTACACTCTAAGAAACAAGCAGGTGAAAGAAGCTTTCACACATACTCTTCGCAAATTTAGTTCCTTTCAAAATTTTGATGCAAGATTTAGATTTAAATGATATGCTATTGGGACATTAATGAAAAAATGGAATACTACTGTCAGTTATATCAGTTATGATCTATGATATTTCTCTTGTTGAGTATCTAAATCATATGAATTATTCTAATGTGGTCTATCATCTTCTTTCTGAGAAGATTTTCTAAACCACTAGGACTAACTGTTTTCTTCATTAACTATATTTAATTCTACCTTTACCTTGTTGATTTTCTTATTTTATTGAAATTTTTTCTTTTTCATACACTATAAGTTGATGGTATTTAGATTCCCCCCACAAAATAAGGCAAAATAAGATCTATCAAGTATAATTTGTGTCCCCAATTGACCTTCAGTGTGGGTGCATCTATGGGAGCTTGGATAACCTTCTCAGAGTCACAGCCTTGAAAGAGATGGACTCTCTCCATACCAGAAGACATAGTTGGCTACATTCCTCATGTAATTTTGAGATTTATTATTCACTTCTGTATCTCTATGTTGAATTTTTGTCTAATTGAGTTTGCATGGGACTTCTGCATTCTGTCACTATTGCTCTGAGCTCATATGAGTAATTGACTAACTCTCAGGAAATCTCTGTTTCCTTGAGGTCATCCACCTTCTCTGGCTCTTAGAATCATTCTATCCCCTCTTCCACAATAATGCCTGAGACTTGGGAGGCAGAATTTTCCTATAGGCCAGAGGACCTTGGTTCAGTTTCCAACACACCTATGGTGGCTAACAACTGCCTCCAACTCCAGTTCCAGGTAATTCAATGCCCTCTACTGATGTCTGCAGGCATTGCACAACATGAGAGCACTTACCTACATACATACAATGCATTCAGGCACATAAAATTAAATAATAATAATAATAATAATTAAAATCATAATAATAAAAAGATGAGTGCTCTGCAACCAAGATGTTTCATGTTGTTCCTGAGCTGAGTCCAAAGACATCATGATTTCTTCTGGCTGGCCTTTCATAATTGGAGCTTAGGAAAGACTCTCTGGAACAGAGGTGTACACAATTTACCACCAAAAGAGGCAGTGGAGTGGAAATGCCAGGTTGGTTCAAGCCTGTTATCTTCTTGGCCATTGTTTTTTCTATTGACTTCCATAGACATATCTGCATAATGTGTGTCTTTCACTTCTAGATGGATGGCTAGTGTCTCATAGGACATTATCCCATTATCCACAAGGTCTTGTCTTGACAGCACTTAAGTTTGTCTTTATCATATTGCTTCACTTAAATATCTTCATTTGGAAAGAAAACATTGTCATAAAGGATAAAGAATATTTGGAAAATGAAAGCTGCCAGGAATCACTGAGTAGTTTCAGGTGTTTGATGCTCAATTTTGGTGGATAAGTTAGCAGGGTAGAAATGACAAGATGAATGGTTTACAGTGTGTGCACCATAAACAATCATTTCCTGTGTTGAATTGGCATCCCCTACCCTCTGTCTCAATAATGAATTGTGTCATTATGGAGAATTTATTACTGGCTGCAGTGTGCAATAGGTTTCAAGTCATCTTTGGGTCCTTTCCACTTATAAATTTTCATTTCAGATGAGATACTTGTTTATAGAAACAAAACCTACAGCTTATCTATCTTTTTTAACATAAAAATAACTTTATTGAGAATTTCATGCATGCATATAAGGTGTTTTGATCAAATCCATGCCCACTCCCTCCCCTCCAACTCCTCCCGTATCTCCCCAACACTTTTTTTCTGATAACTTCATGTACTCTTTCTTTTGATTTATTTTTTATGGGGCTTTTGGCTACTCTAACATTCCCCCTTCTGAAGAGGTAACCCTAAATTCTTTTAAGGATTAGATAAAAGATCCCAAATATTTTGATATTTTTGGCCGTTGGGACAGAGTAGGTTGCTAAGAGGCCAAAGGACATTGTGAGTTTTAGACAAGAAACTAGCTACTTTTCTTTGGGGTCTTTTTACCCTAACTGCCTGTACAATTCCTACCTCCTAGTCTTATCACGCCATCCTCTGAAGAGGTTATCCAAATTGCCAACAGGGAATTGGAACGCAGACTGCCCTGGCTTCTTCCGTGCTGAACAGGGATGCAGGGTGAGGCAACTGGAGTACCCCTTCAGTGGGTCTATCTAAAGACTCCCCGATCGCATAACTCTTATCTTAAGGAGGGAAAAAAAAGTCTTTGAATTGTGAATAGGAGATGTGAAGAAGTAGAGGCCAGAGTAATTAGTGTTACAAGTTCTAGACAGGGAACTAGAAAAAAGAACAGGGCAATTTTCAAATGTCCATATGAGAGTCCTTTGGAATTTCTTGATGAGAGTTTCTAAAAGCATCCCTCTATTGGGTTCCTTCTCATTTTTCTTTTGTCTGCCAATGCTGGATTCGAGAGTGATGGATTCAGGATTTGCTTTCAGGCAGTTTGATAAGATGTTGGGATGCTCAGTATCAGTTCCCTTAGGGAGAGAAAAATTTATCCATCATTTTAGAGCAATAGCTGGTTGTCTCCCTTAGCTACAGGTGAACACTACAGCATTGGTGACCAAGATTTGCAGTCTTACATCTGAGCAGCACTTTCTGGTTAAGAATAAAATAATCAATGAGAAATAATTGTCTGAATTACTTTTTACATAGATTTAAGCCTAATGTCTGAGATGTGTAATCCCTTGAACTCTTAAAATATACTGATGACGTTACTCTTTGGTTATACTTTCCTTTTGGGTGTTTAAGACCGTACAGTTGGCCCAAATAAATCAATTTATTTCACACTTAAGGTCATTTGAGGATCTGTTCCTCGGGGGGTCACATGGGATTGGGAGGAGTTCCTGGCTCCTTTCTTTTACCAGTTCCATCTATGTGAAGATAAGTCAAAGGTCCTGCTCAACCATGTCTGGCTTCACTTTTTGAGGATCTATTCCTCAGGGGTCACACGGGCTTGGGAGGAGCTCCTGGCTCATTTCTTTCACCAGTTCCACCTATGTGAAGATAAGTCAAAGGTCCTGCTTGACCATGTCTGGTTTCAATTGGAAGCATGAATAAGATGCTTTCTCTGAGTTGACCCTCCTCTTTGTAGACTGGACACTGGTTCAAGTCCATCTCATGGGGTCTCCATGTCCTCCCTGAGCAAGAGGACAGGTGACTCATCACAGTTTCAGGACGTTTTGAGAGATGTTCCATAGTCCTCTGGAACTAAGCCAACCTTGGAGGGTAAGGGGCAAAAACTGTCCTTTAAGTCCACTGACCACACTAGTAAAGGCCTCAAACTATGGCTGTTAAATATTCAGTAGGGTTAGTTCCACCAGTCTGGTACTTTTAATAGTCCTCTGGAACTAAGCCAACCTTAGAGGGTAAGGGGCAAAAACTGTCCTTTAAGTCCACTGACCACACTAGTATAGGCCTCACACTATGGCTGTTAAATATTCAGTAGGGTTAGTTCCACCAGTCTGGTACTTTTAACTCTCTTGTGCTGTGTCGATAAGGCTTGGGTTAAAAAAAAATTCTCAGATAAATTTGACTAGATTCATATTATGTTTCTTAAACTAGTTGACTAAACTATGACCATAGAAATTTTAGGATTTTGTTTATATCATTTTTGTCTCATCCTTTATACATTGTAACTAACCTAAACAAACCTTTATCACTTTCTTAGGCTTTCTCACTTTTTCTATTTTGGAAAATATTTCCATTCCCATATCCTTTTAACGTCTTTAACACTCTCATTTTCTTTTTAAAAAATAATTATGAGACATTATAGCATTAACAAATAAATTTTCCAACTGTTGTGAGACTTCTTTTCCTGGGGATGCTAAGCAATCATTATCTCTTTGAAGGTTCTATTTTCAAGCCAATGTTTGATAAAAGTTTTACTTGGGAACCAATGAATTTATTGAGCTTACTTATAGAGATAAGATAATACCATAGGGAATGCCATGCAGAACTCAATCTATAGTCATAAACTATAGATTGTCAGGACTCAAAGCCATAGTCCTAAAAACAGAATGGAATCAGCATGAAAAAAGTCTTGTAGATGAGTGGGACAAAACAGAAGACCGAAACATGAGTGCACACAGTAATCACAGCCACCTGATATTTAACAAAGACACCAAGAACACCCACTAGGGAAAAAAGACAGCTTTTTCAACAAGTGCTGTTGGAAAAAATTGTATCTCCACATGCAAAAGTATGAAAGTAGACCCATATTTATCACCCTACACAAAATCAGCTCCAAATTGATTAAAGACTGCAATGTGAAGCCTGAAACATGGAAACTGTTAGAAGAATACCCTACAAGATACAGGTGCAGAAAGGGGCTTTCTAAATCAGACATCAGTCACTCAGAAATTAAGGTCAAAAATTGACAAATGGGACATCATTAAACTTTAAATCTTCTGCAAAACAAAGGAAACAACAAACGGAGTGAAGAGGAAGCATCCCGGATGATAGAAAAACCTTCACTAGCTATTCATCTGACAGAGGATTAATATACAGAATATACAAAGTATATAGAGGGAGGAGGAGGAGAGAAAAGAAAGGAAGGAAAGAAGAAGAAAGAAAGAAAGAAAGAAAGAAAGAAAGAAAGAAAGAAAGAAAGAAAGAAAGAAGAAAAAGAGGAAGGAACTGAAGAAAGAGGTTTGTTGAATCAAATGGTAGCACTGTTTCTATAATTTTGAGGAAACTACATACTGCATTATACAGTTGCTGAACCATTTTACACTAAAATCAACAGGGAATTATTGTTCCTGTTTTGTGATATCCTCATTAGTACTTGTTGTCATTTTATTGCTTGATAATAAATAAATAGTCATTGTGACTGGGTTGAGATACTGCAGAGGTCTACCCTATTGTGGTCCTTGTTCTGGGACAAAGATTGGAGGTGCAGGGTCTGACCCTGGTACTTGAGTCTCTTTGAAGTAAGTCAACTTTATTGAAAAATTCAGTAACTTTATATACAATACAAGGAACTGGCAGTCACGTGGGCTTTGGCAGTTACATATAAAGATTTAGGGCACAATTAGACAAGAAGCAGGATATAGTGCTT